CTCCCTCTCCCTCCCCCTCCCTCCCCCCCTCACTCTCTTTTCTTCTCGCTCTCCTTTTTGGCTGTCGCTCGTTCTCGCTCTCCCTCGCTCTCTCGCTGTCCTCGCTCTCGGTTCCGTTGCTATGAGGACTATGGGTTTGAAGCCAAGGAATAGGTGCTTCTGAGGCCCTATAGGAAGCACCAATTATTTAGGGTCAGGGTTTCCTGGATTAGTTTTAGAGAGAGAGAGAGAGAGAGAGAGAGAGAGAGAGAGAGAGAGGGAGAGAACCTTAATAGGTGCAATCCCTGCTACCCATTGCACTTATTACATCGAAACTTAATAGGTGCAATCCCCCCCACCCATTGCACTTACTAATGGTCTCCGGGCCGAGAGAGGATGAGGAAGTAATTGTGCGAGCAAGAAGAACACCAACAAGTACACCCAATACATCCTAAGGGAGTGAGGAAAGGCACCAGAAAGATGGAGGGATGTGGAGAGAGACAGAGGGAGAGGAGGAGTGAGGAGGTGCCAGATCGATGCCAAGGCATATGGTGCAGGAGCCAGGCGGTCCACAGTTCCTGGCTGAAAGGCTGGCCCAAGTGGCTTCCGAGCTTGCCGCAGAAGTATCTTAGGTGTTATAGGTTGCATATAGCTATAATTATCTATGGCTATAATACTCAGTTAACATCTGGGCCACTTAAGCCAGTTCTGGGTTTCTTCTACCAAATATCGTACTTCTGTGGCTTTAGAAAGCCCGTTCTCTGGCCAGCAGTCAAGCGTGAAACAGCGTGTAATGCAAGCTATTCGGCGTGAAAAGCGAGATAAAAAACGAGAACGGCGTGAAATCCAGTTTTTTCTAGTGCTGGATGCTTCTGGAAGAAGTTCCTGGCCTAATTCAAGGCTACTTGCACATCTAGGGTGAAGTACATGAAACACAGTACTGAGCCAATAATTGCAGGTTTCATTCTCTACAAGATGCTGCTGCCAAAAGTATCGATGAATTGACCGAACCATGTTCTCCTTATGGGCAGCAGATCAAATCACTCCTTCTACCAGCTGCATGTATATTGTGAACTCTATCCAACTGTTCATGATCATGCTGCATTTGCTCCAGCTCGATCAAGTACAGGCCGTATAGAGGTCGTGTTGGTGTCATGGCACCAGCACACAGCAAGTCTCGAAGTTCAGAGGCCAGCGCGGCCAGCTCTTCGAGCAAGGCTCGTGAGAAGGTGTCGCTGAAGAACAGCTTGGCAAGAGGGAACGCGTTGAGAAAGCTCAAGAAAGACCCGAACGACAAAACCATACCTCTGAACACACCAGTGTTGCCGGGAAACGGTGATGTGACTCTTAAGTCCTTGATGGAGTCGGAGTCCCTCTCCTACGAGCAGGCAATCGAAGTATTTCTCCAGTTTGACCAGGAGAATGAAGATGCCAACAAGGCTGAGAAGGATGATGAGCCCTGCGAGTTGCCAGCTTTGGCGACAACAAAGAAAGCCAAGGCTGAGAAGCCGCCCAAGGCGGAGAAACCACCGAAGGCAGAGAAACCACCGAAGGCGGAGAAACCACCGAAGGCGGAGAAACCACCGAAGGCGGAGAAACCGAAGGCCAAGCAGGCTAGTACAGCTGAAGAGCCTGAGGCGACAGAGGACCTGTCGCCTGCTGTCGCAAGCTACAAGCGGAAGGGCAAGCCGGGTAAGCATGACGCCGAGAAGCCGAACAAAAGAACCAAGAGGGCAGACGACAGCCCCTCGGAGCCAGTGTCCACAACTGCAAGCAGTGCTGTGGGAAGCAACACAGGAAAGAAGAACAAGAAACTTAAGAGCAAGGCCGTTCCCCAAGAAGATGCAGCAGAAGACAAGGCGCCCGAAGACGAAGCACCACACGACAAGGCACCCGAAGACGAAGCACCACACGACGAGGCACCCGAAGACGAAGCACCACAGGACGAGGCACCCGCCCCACACGTGGCAAAGAAGTTGAAGAGAGGCAAGAAGAAGGGAATGAAGAAGGCCACCGCAAGAACCCGTGAGGAGGAGTGCCCCAAGGCAGCACCGCCGACGTTGAAGAAGCTTGGGGCAAAGGAGCATCTAGAGGAGGAAGAGGCCCTGAGCCAGAAAATATCTGATGATCTAAATAAAGGACATGCTGCAGGAGATAGATGAGGAAGACGAAGAGCCCAGCACGCCCCCGAAAAAGACACGCCGCCACAGCACTAAACGTCCTGCCACCCCGCACTCAGAGGAGCATGCAAATGCAAAGGTATGGTCACAGGATCGCCAGCCGGACGACCCGGAGTGGCTAAAGACGGGCTGGCGACTTGCTATCTATTATGAAGAAAAAACCTTAAACCTCGAACCCTGTACAAATATTGTAGCTTAGGGTTTCAGGGTTTGGTGAGTCAAGTTCGGTAGATTGATTGGGGATTGCCGTGCTTCCTATGTGAATTTTCTGCATGTTCTTCACTAGTGTACAGAGTAACCAGGCATCTGGTGACTTCTTCGTGTGAATGCAGAGATGTGAGGTGCTGTCCAACTTACAGTCTGCAAAAGTGTTGTCAACAGCATACCGAAAGCCACACAAGTTCTCCTTGACTCTAATTCCGAAAGGCCTTCCTTTGAAGATTGAAGGTTCATGCCCTAGAAAGCCAAGGTCCTGTGCCAGCCTCGAGTTGGCTGAGAAGCAGGTCGACGCCAGCAGTGGTGCCGTGGACAAAGCGAGCACCGTAATCAAGGACAACACCTCGGTTACAGAGCTGATTGAATCGCCCCTTGGTTGCATATAAGGAAGGCTCCTACATGGGTCCTAATAGATACGCACACAAACACACCATGCATGCATGCATGCATATATATATATATGCACACTGACATCCAAGCAGTCACACATATATATATATATAGGTATGTGTATATATATCATGATAAATACCAAATATAGATCCGTGTAGGCATGCATGCATGCCCACATGTACACATATACACATCCCAGTTCACATATGCCTAAAAGACATGCATGCAAACAAAGATAAATACGGGTCAACCGTGTGTGCACGCAATGATTGTCTGTCTGTCTGTCAAAAGCTGTCTGCCTGTCTGTCAGTCTGTATGCCTGTATGTATGTATGTATGTATGTATGTATGTAATGTATGTATGTATGTATATATGTATGTATGTATGTATGTATGTACGTATGAATGTATGTGTGTGTGTGCATGTATATAGGAATGTATGAATGTATATATACATATATATATAGATATATAGATAGACAGAGAGTATTTATGTCTGTCTGTGTATAGACATGATAGCACACACGTGCACCGACACACACACACACGCACACACGCACGCACGCACACGCATATATACATGTGTATATATATATACACGCATATAAATATGAACATACATACATACATACATACATACGTACATACATACATACATACACACCCAGCTACATGTGCAAGATGTACAATGCTCTGTAGACTGTATCATGGAGTAGATATACAAAACCAGGCGACTTCTAGTACAGCCACTGTGCTGCAAACCAAATCCTACACCTTGAACTGGACCCTCAGCCCTCAACGATAAACTGGCTGGCCAAGCAGAAGACCAGCCCTAAACCCTAAACTTCAAGCCCTCGCCTGCAACCTCGCAAGCCCTAGACTGTGAGGTGCTCCCAGGCTTCGAGTTTTGAATCGGTTTGGGATCTATTGTGTGATCAGGCATTCAGATGGTAGGGCAGGGGAGGGGCAGGGGTTTCGGGTTTAAGGGTTTAGGTTTTCGGTGGTCGGGCATTCAGATGGTAGGGCAGGGGAGGGGTAGGGGTTTCGGGTTTAAGGGTTTAGGTTTTCGGTGGTAGGTTGGTATGTAAGGAGGGAGGTATGTTTGCATGTGTGCTTCCCATCTACCTGTTGTTACCCACCCACTCGCCCAACTTTCCACCGACCTACTTGCCCACTCACCCACCTACCTGCCTACCTACCTGCCTACCTACCTAGCTACCTAGCTACCTACCTAGCTACCTACCTACCTACCTACCTACCTACCTACCTGCCTACCTACCGATTTCTCTTCTTACTTACTTACTTACTTACTTACTTACTTACTTACTTACCTACCTACCTACCTACCTACCTACCTACCTACCTACCTACGTACCTACCTACCTGCCTGCCTAAATACTTATGTTATTATACTTGACTTCACAATCCCTGCTCTGTATTTCGGCTGAGGTTGGGAGCATCGGCTTCGCAAGTGAGCTCCAACAAAGACTACTCGGGCCTTCTAGCTGTCGTAGAGCAGCTGCAAAACCAGTTGCTCAAGCAGCAGAAGAAGCAGAAGGCTGCAGCGGCGGTGCCGCCCTCGAAGCATGAGCCTGTGGACGAAGAGGTAGCTAAGGATGATGAGCAGGAGATGGTAGCCGAAAGTGAGGAGGTGTTGGATGCACAGTCGAGTGCCAGCACTGAAAGATCCAAGAAGAGCCAAGGAGAAGCCGAAGCCGAAGGAAAGAAACCTAAAAAAAACCCTGCTGCCGTCCTGGAACGCCTCCCCTCCACCCAGAACCTCAATGCCCGAACCGCAGCCCCTGCTTTGCCTGCTCCCCGCCCGCCTGCTCCCACGACCTCCGGTCCCCCAGTCCCAGCCGGTGAGCCAAGTGTGCCTGACACTGTGAACTCGAGCACGCACAAGAGGGAGTACATGAGGTTGGTGCCTTGGATTGCAATCAAGTTAGCTGGCCCGGTCATGCAGTTGGATCAGCCCCTTCCGTGCATGTTAAGACGCGGCTGCTGAACAACGGGACCATCACCGCTACCGTGTATCCGTCGATGCATGCTCTTGCGAATGGGACTACGAAGGAGCGCTTTCAATCTTCGATTAAGGGGTGAGGAGATTGCTATATAGCCTCGAAGATTTGATCAGGAGCGAGGCGAATTGCTGAGACGCTGGGTACAGTCGCAGGAGAACCTCCAATCCTGTGAAAGCCTGGTGAAGGCGACCAGAAGAAGCAACTTACAAGGTCAGCGAGTGGTTCAGCTAGTCAGCGTCAAGGACATGAGCAAACCTCCATTCAACTTCAGCGAGAGCCTAGACCTATTATGTATGCACAACATGTTGTTGCTTGTGTGGCTACTTATGCAATCCTTGCAAGTACCAGCCGGCCAAGGCGCAAGATCGCACACATCATCGCCCACCAGCAGGGCATCGAAGCTCCTTGGACTTGCAATTATTTATGAGTTATTATTCGTCATATGCTGCTTCCTGGCTTCGATAAGGATCGCGATGCCCCAGGCATCGTCGAAGAGACGAAGTATTGGGTGACGACGGCCGAGACCCGTACGGACACCCTGGACATTACGCTGCTTTAGCTGCAGTTTCAATTGATTCTGAAGAGCATCACGAGCAATCTTGTGATTTGATTGAAACATGGTATGTAAGAAAAGCCCAGGCATGAGCATCAGCTGACGGTGCATGCAGCGGCCAGCCCCGATGATGCCTCCAACATTCTGAATGGCCCTGCTGACCCCTCACTCCTTGAGCGCCCGAGGGAGAGTAAAGGCCCAACGCCGCTTTCCGGCGATGTCTTACGTGCTTACGATGGTTTCAGGGCTGGCCTTGAAGCAGCAGCAGGTCTTGAGACTTCGGCCCCTGGTGGTGTCTTGATCTCATCTATTTTTTTGGCCTGCATCATGTGCCCAAAGTTTGGGGTATTACTTGAAGCTTTCGTTGCTGAAGTCCCCAAATCCTAAGTGCCACATCCCGAACCCAAGTTGTGAATAGACCCTACACTTAAAATTAAACCCGTTCCTAGCCCCTTAAAGCTTGAAACCCCAATCCTTCTAGGTGATCCCCAAACCAAACCTATATACAAGTCATCGTACTAGATCGTATAATTCTCCCCAAGAAGACCGTAACCAACACACAAAAGCCACATCACCCTACCTCCACCTTTGCCTTAATTCGAACAAACCCAACAACCCGCAAGCTACTCAGGCAGACGTGGCGGTGGTTCTCGTGCATCAGTGGCAGGATCCAAGCGCTCTGGCCAAGGCTCGAGCAGCTCCAGGAAAGTGCCTCTGAACGAGGAAATGTTCAGGACAGACCAGGAGAAACATGATCGCTGGAGTACCCTTGTTGCATATATCCTGCACTGGCTTAACAGATGTTGTCACATGCTTGTTAAAGCCGTTGCAACTGAAGTGAGTATCCAGGCAATGAGATCAAGAAAGAAATCTCGGGCATTAGTGCCATTCTCCTGGATCTGCCGGACGACGATGAGTTGAAGGAGGACTTGGCTAAGGCTCAGGGCAAGCTTATCAAGCTGAACAAGAAGTTTCTTGGCTCCATGCTGATGTCCAGTCTTATCGTTGTCAAGGATTCATGCTACTGGGGTGTGTGAGGTTCAAGACTGCTGGTACGGCCGACACGATGGATCCCCTGTGTGAGAAGATCTGGGAGCTTGTCCCTGGGTTGCAAAAGTAGGCATAGGAACCCAAACCAGGTCGAAGCCTACGTAGGAATGCCTAAAAGTTAACACTGCCTAATCCTGAAGCCGAGTCTCCAAATACTCCCTAACTTCCTAAGCCCTCACCCTTAAGTCTTCCTAAATTTGTAGCTAATGAAACCCATAAGGGACTGAACACCATAAATTGCCACGCAATACCTGAAGCCATGGTCTCAAACACTTTACACCCGACAAGGTATTGTGCATCCCTAGATGTTAAACGCCCTTGTCTTGGATGTCTCGTATGTTGGCAATGGTGCATGAGGTTGTGCTCTCGTGTCCCATATCCGAGGTGTCAGGGCTGAAGATTTTGAAAGGGAAGGCCAAAGGCCTTATTTCCGAGCTCAAGAAGAAGGGGTGATGTGGCAGCCTGTGCATCGAATGCCATAGTGGCCTAGACAGTGTCATGTAGCAATCTAGCATTCTGCTAGTAACACATCCAGGTATGTGTCGTAGTGTACGTACATGTGACATGAGTGTTATTGGCATGTACGTGGCCTGGCCTATGTGCATCTGCCTGGGTACCTAGTTTCTCTGCTGCCTAGATATGCAGCTAGAGAGATATCAGCTCCGAACATGGCGACTTTTGCCGTGCTTTTCTGACAGGGCACCTTAGACTTGGTGTTCTACTCTTGGGGAACCCAATCGAGCGATTCTTGCTGCAGCGTCCGAAAATGCTGAACCTTGCCCGGACACCGTTATGTAAGCCGTGGATAACCTGAAGATGTGCCCAACCTTCAATCAACAACGCTTGCGCAGATGGACCTGCCTCGTCCTCCAGGGTCTCGGCACGCTTGGACAGGCGGAGCCTCATCGGCATTAAGCGGCTAATGTTGTGAATCATACACTTAGCTTGGGTCTCTGGCATACTTAGGGTTTGCGGGTACTGTGTACGTGTAGATACCCTGAAATTTGGCTGATGTATCGATATAGTTTGTAGATATTGTAACACCGATGAACCTTGAGTAAGGCTAGGCCACAGTGGGCTGATAAAGCCAAGGCTTGCAGAAGCGGTTTGCGAAGGACAATCATCGATTACACTTGGTTGTGAACTCGGTGCCATGGCTAGTGCATCAATATTTTTTCCTATGTCTAGTCCTTGAGAAAACTTAGAGGCGTCCTATTAACTGCACCCTATGAACTCCCAAGGTGAGATCTATGGTAGCAATGCTTTGACTGGTTATGAGTCGAGGGCTTTGCGTGAAGCCGAATTTCACCAGCGGGTCAGATCTCTGGGCTGTGCTCATCCGTTTGAGATTTCGTGGAAGAACATTCCGGTGCTTGTTGAGAAGCCTGGGGAAGGCGATGCTATGGCTATCTCATCCTGGCCCATGATCCTGCCCAGCACCATTGTATCCTAACCGCAATTATACAAGGCTGCCAGCCTAGCAAATAGTCGCTTATGCTGGTGTGTAGTCGATTGAGATTAAATTGCCCTAATGTGGACATATTACAGCCTTACATAGCCACTACGGTTTCCAATGGCATAGCCGCTGAATGTTTGCCCTTTAAACCCATTGTCCTGCTGCTACACAAAATATCCAGTTCTGACCGTCCTAATGGTTTAACTATACCCAAACATGAGGTCAGAGCACTCTTATCCACTGGATATTCAGATTGCCTTGGGCCCTTGGAACACCTTGAAGAGTACTGGACCAAAATGGCTGGGCAGCTGGAAGCACCTCCCGCCGCATCGCAATGGAAGAACACCGTTCCTTACTGCTTGTGGGGGGACGAGGGGACAATCAAGAATGCTGCATCCTGGATGCTGGGAACTTTGTGCCTAGACGAAGTTGTATTGGCAACTAGGGTGAGGTTGTTAACCTGTTGCTTACCTTTTGGTATCTAATGGTAAAAACCTGGCCAAGGATGTTCGACTTGTCGCCGCACAGGACAAACAGCAAGGCTTCGAGATATTTGATGTATTCTCTCCCGGTTTCTGCCTACTGGTTTGACCCGGACACAAATGACCATGTCAATTTAACATTGCAAGCGGTACTGCAAGTACTAGTCGACGATTTGAACAGACTGACCACCTCTGGTTTGCAGAGTGGGGACGAAGTTTCTGGGTTACAAATACTAGTTGTTAGAAATCTTCTATGAAAAAGAAACATAAGCCCTAAACCCTAAACCCTAAGCCCGTTTTTTGCAGTGCTTGCCTCGTCGCCCGGAAGCCCCGAGAGCTCCCTCTGCCCAGGACGTACCCTAAAGCCCTAAAAACCCTAAACCCCCAAAGTTTAAAGCCGTAAAACCCTAACCCGTACATAAGCCCTAAAACCCTCAACCCTCAGTGGTGACTGCAACATGACTAAGGTTTTCTATTTCCGCTGTGTGGCTTACAAAGGTGATATGAAATGCCTTGTTCAATCCCTGAACTTGCAGCGGCATGCCAGCTGTGAGGAGGCCGACCGAACCTAAAACCCAGGCCCTATACAGAGAACTCTAGAACCTACGGGGTATTGCTTATAAGGTTAATTCGGGGCCTCTTTCTCCTTAATTCTCAGGGTCAGATAGTCGTATAGAGAAACCCCTGTCCAGATCTGCTTTCGATGTGCTGCCACAAAGGGCAACTATGACTTTGGTCGATGCTACACCGATATTAGTGACAATGCATCCTGGAGGTCTGAAAACATTGGTCCGATGTGGAACACGGTTCCAGCCGTGGCTGGACTGGTGGGCTTTTCGGAGAAGCTCATCGCTTTAGATTTACTTCATGTGTTTCATTTAGGGGTGGCTCGCGATTTGTGTGGAACTGGCTTCCGGCTCCTATGCCAGCGTCGTGACTATTTCGCTGGCAACAATATCAAAAAGCGGCTCGCGCAACTCACAATTGACCTCAAAGACTGGTGCAAAAGAAATGGTCAAGTGCTCAGCCTCACTAGAATCAACAGGGAGACGATCAAATGGAGAGCCAAAGAATGTCCTGAACTTAAGGCGAAGGGGGCTGATACACTGGCTTGTCTGCGATATTTGTGTGACAAATTGCATCAGCAGCCACCAGCAAGCTACCAGGGTATTCTGGCTTGCACTTGGGCATGTGTGCAGTTCATCGGTGTGCTTTCGCATGCTTCGCTCTTCTTGACCGACTCCGAACGCAGCACTGCCATGGCGACCGGCATGTTGTATGTGCGATCATACATATCCCTGGCCAACGAAAGCTTGCAAGCAGGGCAGCACTTATTCAAAGTCCGCCCCAAACTGCATTACTTGCTACACATTATCGAAGACATGGGGTTACCCGGATGCTCTCGCAATCCGTTTTCTGATGCCACCTTTGTCGATGAAGACTTTGTCAAGCAGGCTTTGATTGTAAAGCGACGAGTTTCTTACAGGAAAGCTTCATTAAATGTTCTCAGGAGATTCAGCACTGTCAACAAGTCAGTGCTGGACAAAGCTGCAGCCGAGTCTCATCGCTGAAAAGATCCATAATCGAAGCTCTGTTGCAGCGCTGTGGCTCTGCTGGGGCTTGTGGCTGCCGGCTGCTTTCGTTTACTGTCTGGGTTCCTTAAATATATATATATATATAATATATATATATATGTGATCGTGCATATAAGCTTCCGTGTACAGCCGGCTGCTAGGCTTAATAGTTAATAGGGTGGATTGAAATAGTTGGTTTATGCTGCGTGAAAACTAGACTAGGATCCTCTTCAAAACCGGGAACTAGAACCTAAAACCCGAAACCCCCCCCCCCCCCCCCAATCACTGAAACCCTAACAGCTGGCGAATTAAAGCCCTAATTCAGTTGGAAACCCTAACACCTGAAGCCCTAATTCTCTATACATTACCAAACCCTACAGGCTCAAACCCTTGACCCTAATGTTGGCTCAAGTGTTGGCTTATAAACCACTTTTTTTTTGTGTTCGGCTCAAACTTCACTCGGATCATATCGCTGCGTGCAGATTAACGCATTATATGTCCGTTCAGAGCTTGTTGCACTTTTGTGTGCCAGTGCCTACAAGAGGCCCCCGCTATTTGCATGTCCCTTGATACAATTTAGACAGCCATCATATGTGACCTAAAAAGCATAAGTGCTTTAAAAGTCTAAATGCTGGATATAGTTTTCCCTTAAAACGGAGTTTCAAACGCTTTAACTAACATATGGTCTTCCAGGCACGGTGCGCGCGCGCGCGCGCTCGNNGTTGTTGATGTTGTTGTTGCTGTTGTATGTTGTCGTATGTTGTTATGTGCTGTTGTATGTTGTTGCAAGTTGTTGTATGTTGCTGTATGGCGCTGTGTGGTTGTATGTTCTTGCATGTTGTTGTATGTTGTTGTATGTTGTCGTCTGCTGTGGTATGTTGTCGTATGTTGTTGTATGATGTTGTATGTTGGTGTATGTTGGTGTATGTTGTTGTATGNNGCGCGCGCGCGCGCGCTCGCAGAGGGCGTGCGCAGGGTGCGCGCGCACGCGTGTTCGCACAGGGCGCGCGCGCGCGTTTGCAGGGATAGGCGGTCATGGGGACCGCTGTTGTTGGTGGGAGTTATGAGTATAGGGACCTCCTCCATTTGCCTTCCATTTAAAGCAGGGATAGGCGGGCAATGGGGACCCAGTGTGCGCTTGCACCGGGGGGGGGCCCAGGCAACCAATAGAGGGGATGGGGACCCAGTGTGCGCTTGCACCTTGTTGTTGCTGTTGTGGTTGTGGTTGTGGCTGTGGCTGTGGCTGTGGCTGTGGCTGTGGCTGTGGCTGTGGTTGCTGTTGTGGTTGTTGTTGCTGTCGTTGTCGATGGTGTTTGTTGTTGTTGGTGGTGGTGGTGGTGATGGTGGTGGTGCCGCTGCTGTTGTTATTGTTGTCGTTGTTGTTGTTGTTGTTGTTCCTGTTGCTGTTGCTGGTGTGCCTAAAACCTTA